ATGAAAGACATGGGATTCAGGTGTCGCATTCCGTGTGTCAAGCCACTCTTGAACAAGAAACAGCGCAAGAAGCGTCTCGCCTGGGCCAAGGACAAAAAGGACTGGACTGATGCTGAGTGGTCCAAAGTTATGTTTTCTGATGAAAGCAAGTTCTGCATTTCCTTTGGAAATCAAGGACCCAGAGTCTGGAGGAAGAGCGGAGAAGCACAGAATCCACGTTGCATGAGGTCCAGTGTAAAGTTTCCACCGTCAGTGATGGTGTGGGGTGCCATGTCATCTGCCGGTGTTGGCCCACTCTGTTTCCTGAGGTCCAGGGTCAATGCAGCCGTCTACCAGGAAGTTTTAGAGCACTTCATGCTTCCTGCTGCTGACCAACTTTATGGGGATGCAGACTTCACCTTTCAACAGGACTTGGCACCTGCACACTGTGCCAAAACCACCAGCACCTGGTTCAAGGACCATGGTATCCCTGTCCTTGATTGGCCAGCAAACTCGCCTGACCTTAACCCCATAGAAAATCTATGGGGTATTGTGAAGCGGAGGATGCAATACGCTAGACCCAACAATGCAGAGGAGCTGAAGACGACTATCAGAGCAACCTGGGCTCTCATAACACCTGAGCAGTGCCACAGACTGATCGAGTCCATGCCACGCCGCATTACTGCAGTTATTGAGGCAAAAGGAGCCCCGACTAAGTATTGAGTGCTATACATGCACAGTCTTTTCATGTTCATTCTTTTCAGTTGGCCAACATTAGAGAAACAAACATTTTTTCATTGGCCTTTAGAATATTCTAATTTTCTGAGATACCAGATTTGATGTTTTCATTGGTTGTCACCTATAAATATCAAATTTAAATGTAATGAACATTGGAAATACATTGGTCTGTGTGCATTGCATGAATATAATGTACAAGTTTCACGTTTTGAATGGAATTACTGAAATATTTTCAACCTTTTGATGATATTCTAATTTACTGGCCAGCACCTGTATACAAACACAGGCCAGTTTAAAAAAACGACCACTCTGTCATAGCTATGAGCATTTTTGAATTGTATCCACATCCCTTCGAGATATGAAAATTATAACAGATTCATTAATACTTTTTGTTGTTTTAAAATAGCTAAATAGAAACATTGGACATGTGTCTTTGTGCCCTGCTGACCAAACTCTGTATGTCATGTTTGATCAGGATTGGCTCCTGGTACAGAGTTCTTACAGGTGCAAGACATCCTTAATGCGGCATTTTCCAGGTTTTAGTACAGAAACACTCATGAAATGGTTATTTTGAGACTAGACTGGCTGATGGGAAAGTAGGTGATCCTCTCCCAGAACCTTTACTATTTATCCAGTTGTGGATTTAAATAAATAAATGAAATAAAAATACAGGTAAAAGTTATAATGCTGATCTTTGTTTGGCCTTGTTTTTAGTTACTCGGTTTTAGTGTGCCATGGTCATGCCAGTGCTAAAAGTTCTTTCATCTTGTCTTGAAAGTGTTTGAAAATTAAGATTTTGCCAAGTGTTTTCAAACCCTGCTGCTAGTAATGCTTCCAGTAGAAGACACACCGTTAGGAAAGGAGCTTAAAGAGCTTTGCATGTCAGAGCAAATGAGAATCATGAGGTCAAAGGAACTGCCTGAAGAGCTCAGAGACAGAAATGTGGCAAGGCACAGATCTGGCCAAGGTTACAAAAATCTCTGCTGCACTTAAGGTTCCTAAGAGCACAGTGACCTCCATTATCCTTAAATGGAAAATGTTTAGGACGACCACAACCCTTTCTAGAACAGGCCGTCCAACCAAACTTGGCTACCAGGGGAGAAGAGCCTTGGTGAGAGAGAATAACCCGAAGATCACTGTGACTGAGCTCCAGAGATGCAGTCAGGAGATAGAATAAAGTTGTAGATAAACAACCATCACTGCACCGTTCAGCCAATTAGGGCTTTATGGCAGAGTGGCTCGTTGGAAGCCTCTCTTCAGGTAAAGACACAGGAAAGCATGCATGGAGTTTGCTATAAAACACCTGAAGGACCCCAAGATGGTGAAAAATAAGATTCTTTGGTCTGATGAGACCAAGAGAGACTTTTTGGCCTCAATTGTAAGCGGTGTGTGGAGAAAACCAGGCACTGCTCATAGCTTGTCCAATACAGTCCCCACAGTGAAGCATAGCGGTGGCAGCATCATGCTGGCTGCGTGGTGGCGCAGTTGTTAGCATTGTTGACTCGCAGCATGAAGGTTGCAAGTTCAAAACTCGCCTGCGGCCTTTCTGCGTGGAGTTGCGTGTTCTCCCCATGCATGCGTGGGCTTCCTCCGGGTTCTCCGGTTTCCCCCACAGATCACAACATGCCCTATAGGTTATGAATTGTAAGTCACTTTGGATAAAAGCGTCTGCCAAATAAATAAACATAAACATGCCGTGGGGGTGTTATTCAGCTGCAGGGACAGGGCGACTGGTTGCAATCAAGGGAACGATGAATGTGGCCAAGTACAGGGATATCCTGGATAAGAACCTTCTCCAGAGCGCTTAGGAGCTCAGACTGGGCTGAGGGTTTACCTTCCAACATGACAACGACCCTAAGCACACAGCTAAAGTAATGGAGTTGCTTCACATCTCTGTGACCGTTCTTGAATGGCCCAACCAGAGCCCAGATTTAAACCCAACTGAGCATCTCTGGAGAGACCTTAACATGGCTGCCCACCAACGTTCACAATCCAACTTGACAGAACTGGAGAGGATCTGCAAGGAATGGTAGAGGATCCCCAAATCCAGGTGTAAGAAATGTGCTGCATCTTTACCAAGAAGACTCATGGCTGCATTAGCTCAAAAGGATGCTTCTACTAAATACTGAGTAAAGGGTCTGAAAACTTAGGACCATGTGATATTTCTGTTTTTCTTTTAATAACTCTGCATACATAAAAAAAAATTCTGTGCTTTCTGTCAACATGGGGTACTGTGTGTAGAATGATGAGGAAAAAATAAATTTAATTGATTTTAGCAAATGGCTGCAATATAACAGAGTGAAAAATTGACGGGGGTCTGAATACTTACTGTACCCACTGTAAGTGATATTTTTACAACTGAGGAAGCTATATACATCTTAAAGCGACACTAATAAGTTTCATACATATCCCTCCTACCTACATATTCCTCCAAGTGCCGTAAACAACCCTGCTCTTGCTAGTGCTAACAACAAGCTAACACAAGCCACAAAGTAAAAAGATTCACACTGTTGGACTAAAAATAGTCCAGTAACAACAAAGCCAGGTCACCACCAGCCCATGAATTTGTAGCATCCTTCATCTCCCTCAGACGAGTCGGGCTGCTCTGATACTCACGCTGGTTTTAGCTCTTTGAATTTACTCCAAAGACATTACTCTCTTATTTCAAAGGCTCTGCCATGATGCCAACAAAAGCAACATTCTTGTTCTTCTTCTTGTACTTTTTATTGATGGGTGGCAAACTTAAAAAGCTAACTGCTGACCTTTATATGAGGTACAGCCACTGAAAATGATACTGCTATAAAGCAGGTAGAGACCTCCCACTGGTGTCCCTACCTGAACAACGAAATGGTTAAAGCTGCTTTCCTGAGTTTTCCTCTTTCAGAAATTATGTATGATTTGTCAGAAATCTGTAAAAGTGATCTTATCATGTACTGTGATATAATATAAGCAACAAGTTTTTTGTTTTATTTATTTTTTGCTAAGCACGCCCCCGGCCCGGCAGAGCTCCGTGCACTAGGAAACTGAGCGCCAACCATAACTAACCAGTAGCGTTAGACTACCGCTTAGACGCTTCACATTTAAGGAATACCTCGGCTGATGCAGAGTTGATGAACTTTTTAGGGACAAGAAAGTCTCTAAAATATAAATATATGAAAACATGACATGACATGAGAATAATACTTGCAAAGCAACGAGTTTTAGCTCTGTTTGTCGGCTACAGAAGCACATTTATAAACAGAAACGTGAAGTTGCTATCTTACAGAGGAACAGCAGTTTTGTGTGATACGCTTGTCAGCCACTAGATGGTGCCATTGGATCAGAGAAATACTCCGGGAAGAAGCTTTAAGTGCATATTCTGGTCAGCAGAGGGCGACAGAGTTCTGTTCAATGGAAAGTTGCTCCAGTTTCTGCATCAAGAACCTAGCCTGGCCTGCCAGACTCGTCCTCTGTTTGATTCTGCACAGAGAAAGTCTGGTAACTCAAGGCAGAGAGGCACTTGAGGGGCGGGACTAGGCAGCTGAAAAATAACCAATCAGAAAAAAGACGGAAATACCGTCTATTTCCTGCGACGCTGTAGTAAAAAAAAGTCGTCTGGCAACGGCGCAAACATCTTCAATATTTTTTTGAAGAAAGGCTTTTAGCGCTTCTACTTGTGGTTTTAAAGACATTCAAGTCATTTAGAGCAGAGGAAAGAGCCACAGCGAACTCCGCTTCAGTCGCCATGTTTATGACAAACTCAGAGTTGTGGTGTGTGATGTACGCTACTCGGTGCTGATTGGCTGTGCGCTGATTCTCAGGGGGTGGGGTTATTTGAATAGTAGAGTTCCCAGACCCTTTCTCTGTGCAGAATTAAACAGAGGAGTGTGGCAGGCCAGGCTAACAAGAACCACTAAAACCAGTTTGAAAGCAGCTTAAAGTGTTACAAACTCATTAGCATTGCTTTTAGATGGTAAGTATTGATTACTTTTAGAGCATGGAGCTTTTGAAAGTGTGCAGCTCAACCTTTTTCAATCAAAACTCAAAGACAAAAAGCCACATTAACAAATACATATGGGTCACTATGATTATCATTTAGGTTCTCAGACAATTAACTCATGAAAAACAGAATATGTCCTTTCACAGTGAGAGACATCATTTTAGCTAGATTAACATTTGTACAAAAAACAATAATTATTATTATAGTTCCCATATAAAATGTTCACAATAAAATGCATGTTTGCAGAGCAGAAGGCTCCTCCTTTTTGGACTTTTATTCTGAAATCCAAGCCTTTGTGTTGCAGGTACGGCATCAGTCCCGAGAATATCATCCTGTATGGACAGAGCATTGGCACAGTGCCCACGGTAGATTTAGCCTCCAGGTTTGAGTGTGCTGCTGTGGTCCTTCACTCTCCTCTCACCTCCGGCATGAGGGTGGCCTTCCCCGACACTAAGAAAACTTACTGCTTCGATGCCTTCCCAAAGTAAGTTCACTACGCCAGGCAGAGAGCACAGTCCAGCAGGCATCTGCAGTCAAATCAGATGCAGTGATATTTGAAAAAAAAGAGGCATTTAAAATGTCAGAGACTTTTTCTGACAATAAAATTTCACACGTATAAATATGGATGTCAAACAAAACAATCTTCACATTTTTAAGTTTTTGTAAGCAGTGGACCTGAAAGGCTGCTGGAAGTGTCAACTCCTCCAGCTAATGAGGTTCATTTGTTCCTGAGCATCAGAGGCATCCTAGAGAGGTGAAGTTTGTCAGAAATAAAGACAAGAGTGGTTTCAGTTTGAAGATTTAGTGGATTTAATCATCAATGCTTCATTAATTCAGCCGCTGAAGTCCTGCTAAAGGGACACTTTATCTTTTACTTTGCAGACTGACAGAATTTCTTGTGGCCGTAATGAAATATCAGCGATATGATTTACAAAAGACTTTTCATCTGAAACATTTTCACTCCATTCCTCCCTCCTACTCCTTCCAGGTGTTAGATTGATTCTATTCACTAAAACAACCTTAGAGATGGTTTAAAATGATATAATAATTAACAGAAGGCATAGCTAATTAAGCACAGACTTCCACACAAGTAAGAGTTTGATTTTCTAAATTAAATGTTTTTGTTTGCATTTCCAAGAGATGATCAAGTCACTTCTACCCACTAGATATAAATCATATAGAGCCAAAACAAATCTGCCTGATCTTTAAAATTAGAAGCTTTTATTGTGATTAATGCAAGCAGTTTTACTTTGAATTGACTTTTTATTTAATTCTAAAAACAATCAGTTCTTCTTGTGTTTATTGAAAAAGCAAGTTACATAGTTAGGTAGAAGTAAAACATGAAGTTGTACTTTGTTGCCTTAAAAAGCAAGAAAGTGCATAAGATACCAGACTTAAACAAAAGGAAAGCTCCTTTATTAGAATATCTTGCTGTACCGTGTCACCAAGCTATGTTTTCATGTCTTAAAAATAAATTTTCAGCAAATGAGCAAAATTATCTTCTGCTTTTACAGCATTTTGACTCAAACATGCAGAATAGGTTTGTTTTCAGGCCAATTTTGTTGTGAGATTTCTTGGCTCAACAATTTGCATAAGATTGACTATCAAACTGATGGCTGCATTTTAAAAAGTTTATTTGTAAACATTTTAACCAAATTTAGTTTTTTCTAGCTCTGAAATGATGAAGCTGCGCCCACAGATCATTTGCAATGACTAACTTTTACTAGGTTGGTTAAAACACGGACTTTACAACCTTCTTTTATTAAGAAAGAAAGAAAACGATCTTTTATACAGCGCCTCAAGATAAAAATCACGAGGCGCTTCACATAAACAAAAACAAAATATAAAAAAAGATGGCAAAAAATGATTAAAAATATGTTTAAAATGAGAAAAAATATTCTGATTTAAAAATAATGATAATGTAAGGAAAGAGAAAATTAATAGGAAAGAGGGAAATCAGTGAATCGTGGGAAAGGCAAAATATGTAGAAAGAGCAAAGTTATTAATGCTAAACGTTTGATGTGAAATTTACAAAACTACTTTTGGCTGTCAGTTTAAATGTCAAACACCTAAAAACCAGATTTTAGTAAGAAGATGTTATTTATGTAAAATAATAGTCTATATGGAAAGTGACATTATTATTATTTATTTATTTATCAGCATCGAGAAAGTGTCGAAGATCCCGTCTCCAGTTCTCATCATTCACGGTACGGAGGATGAGGTGATCGACTTCTCTCACGGCCTGGCCCTGTTCGAGCGCTGTCCCAAGGCTGTGGAGCCCCTCTGGGTGGAGGGGGCGGGCCACAACGACATTGAGCTTTACAGTCAGTACTTGGAGCGGCTACGGCGCTTCATCAACCAGGACCTGGCTGCTCAGCACGCCTGAGAAACAAGCAGCCTCTCTGTCGTCATATCTATGGCACTGTGTGTGTGTGTGTGTGTGTGTGCGTAAATGATTGCATGCATGTGAAAGGGGGGTGTCGGCGTGTTTGAAAATGTGTGTGTGAAATAGACCTAAAAACATTGTGATTTGGGTCACATCTGTGTCGTATGAGCAGTACAGCTACAAGATGAACACACACACACACACACACACACACACACACACACACACTTGTTTTGTTTCCTGTTTTTAAAGGTGGTAACTTTTTTATTAAGTCGTTAGCTTTATACATTTGTACAGTGTTGGTTAAACACTGAAAAATAAATGAAGACACATAATTTAACAGTTGATCTAATTGTAATGGGGAAGCGACAGTTTAGTCTAAAGGCACACAGATGTTGTTTTAAAGCGTGTGAATGTGGGCACGTGCAAATCTCATTGACCTTTGACACCTGAATGACTTGTGTGTGTTAGATAGAAATGAAGGACTTCCTGATGACTTGGAAAACTGTAGGAGGCTAGCGGAGACTTCTCGATGTTAATATTTGTAATAATTTTTGATTTTGTTGTTTTTTTTTTTGTTCCAAGTGTGTATGAAGAATACCTCCACAGCTTGACAAGTTTTCTTTCCGTTGGACAAACCCTGGTCGGGCGTTCCTAACCCACCACTCATTGTTTACCTTTTTTAACGGACACTCGTACGACTGCCGGGGCGTCTCCCAAGTCTCCGCTCTGCTAACACTACTCTGTTAGGTTTCATTTCCTGTGACTTTTATCGGGGGCTGTTTTGAGGAAACACTTGTCTGAAGAACTTCCACAGCTCTGGTGGATGTTACCGACTTTATCTCCTTTTTTAATTTTTGTATTACGTCCAGCTTCCATGTTAATTCCAGGATTTATTCGACCACTTTTCACTGATCAGAAACATTTGTTTCCTTGGATGGAGTAATGACCCTCAGAGCACCAACAGATGGTGCTAAAAGGTCGGTGCAAAGGAACAAGCGTGATTTAAGTGAGCCGCTGGGTGCAGAACCGAGTCACTGGTTATTGTTCCATCATGTCGAGCTGCCTGATTCAGTAAATGAATAAGTTCATGTTGCTCATAAATATCACAGATCATCAAAATCATGCTGATTAACTCCTAGTCCTGTTCTAGTTCATCACGTGACTCGGCATATTTCTTGCTAGTTCTTGTCTTGATGTATTTAATCCAGATGTGTTGGTGGCGATGCGGAGGTCCAGAGCTCATTTCATGACCACATCTGTCCATGTTCTGAGTAACAAATGTGATTTTGGATGGGACGCTGTGCTTTTACTTCCCTAAATGTACATTTGCTCTCTTATGGGTGGCAGCAGGCTTCTGTGTCTGACACAAGCCATATTTGAGCCTCTCACTGTTTGTGTGGTGCAGGTTCCACCACACACACACACACACACACACCCTTATATATCTATGTATATCGGATCGAGCATGAAAAGAGCAGGTCTTAAGTTCAGCACTATTGTACAAAGCATCCAAAGTGTAATAAGGGTATAAAATGTTAGTCTGTCTTTTTTTAGTTATTGTTATTGTTAATGTGTTCTCCAGGCTCTTCGGTGGGCGGGGGGGGGGGGGGGGGGGGGGTAAGTACTACTGGGCCCTGTGTGAAGACCTGGTGTGGTACCTGAAGGTGCTTCAGTGGTGTTTTATCAAAGGAAGCATTTGTGATCTACCACTGGCTCCTTTATGGGGTGTAAGCAGCCTAAAGGGTTCTGATCACCACTCACTTCCTGTTAGCTTGAACAGGGAAAAGTTCATCCATCTTGTGCTTCGTGTCATTTGGTTTCCTTTTTCTTTTCTTTTCTTTTTTATTTTTTTTGAGTAATGGAAATCTTTTAAAACCAGGAATCTTGAGTCCTCAGAGGAAGTCTCTCTGGATGTGAAGATGGTTTCCTACGGTGTTTTCTTTTTGGGAAGAAGGGAAACTTTCTGTATTTTGTTTGTGGGGTAAAAAAAAAAGATTCATTACCACTACATTCGACGTATATTGTATCCTCTGGCCTTGAATGTGTATTGTTGGGGGTGGGGGCAGTAAGTAAACTGTATGCATGTCGTGTTTTGCAGAGCCAATGAAAGGATGGAGCATTATCTATTGTGTCGTCTACGTGAAGGTTAAGCTGAACAGGATGTTGGACATAAAAGCTCTTTAAAAAAACTTTTTTAATTGCTGATACTAACTGATGTATTGTTGAGTTTGGTGTTAGAGTTGGGGGGTAGACATCATAGGTAGACTCTTTATATGGTTACTGTACTTAACGATTCTATTTGTATTTTGATTTGTAATTTTATGTTGCATTTTTTGAACTGAAAACATGATGTAATGATATTAATTCATGGACTGAATCTTGGCCTTTTTATGGACGACAAAAATAAAAATCACTTATGTACAAAACATTCGTAGATTTATTCAGTTCATTAAACCTGTGACGGTTATATAAAAATGTTAATATTTGCGTTAACTTAAAGAGCAAGTCACCCCAAATCAACAATTTATTGCTGAAAACCAGTGTCTAATCATGCTGTAGACGTGTGCAGTCAATGAGGCACTTTAGTGCTTAAATATTCTGCCTAAAACTGTCAGTGTTGCGCCCTCTTCAGGTTAAAACTGCACTGCATTTGAATTTAAATCTGCCATTGCAAATGGCCAGTAGGTACACTATGACGTTAGCTGGTACCCTATGATCTCACAATGTTGTAAGCCGGTGTGTATGTATTTATTAGAGGCTCCGACCTCTTGGTCTGCCAGGCAACAGCAAGCAACGAGCTGTGACGTGCAGCGTCCGCCTCCGTTGCGCCCCAGGCTTAAAAACTCTGGTAGGTGGTGACTTGCTCTTTAACTCCACATACAGATCAGATGGTTATAAATAGAACAGTTGCAGTATTAATAGTAATAAAATTAGATTATTTAAAATGTAATCAACTCTTACAATGTAAAGGCAACCCAAAGTTTAAATAATAATTAATAATAAAGTTAAATAATTTTATACATAATTTATAACTCCATCTACATTAATACCTGGTAGCTAACAGATCGTTATGAAAACGTGAATCAGTGACATGTTTGGCAGTAATTAATGCAGCAGGACCAATGCATTTCTAAGAAGTGAGCGCCCTCTGCTGGTTACATTCTATTTTTACATGACGGAGTTTTCACAGTAATTATTTTATATCCATGCAGAGTTTCGTTTTAATTTGATCCCTTGGTTGCAGATTTGGATCAATTCCTCCTGAAAAAGACAAAAAGTCTCCCATGACTTCTGTATTTGCTGCCTGCTGAGCTCAGCTGTTCAGCCCAAAAATAAAGATGTTATCAGCAGACTTTCTTCCCATGACTCTGTGCAGAAGGACCTGCCTCCAGTTTTCATTCTGTCAGGTTAAAATCTTGTCCCTCCAGCCGGGAAACGTTGTTTTGACGACTTTTGCCAGTCTGATGTTTGGTTTCTTTGCTACTGGTGGCTGTTTTCTGGTTTCTAAAGGGAACAGCTGAAAGAATAAAAAAAACAAAAATGCTGTTAAACTAAAAACATTCTCTTGAATGCATCACAATTACAAAGTTTAAAGTTGTTCTAGTGGCTCATAGATTACATTTAAATGAACCCTGATTTTAAACACGTAGGTTATTATCAGCTCATACAAAAAGCCAGACTCATTCTGGTAGGTGTGACCTTCAGGAATGTAATCAGTCGTCTCTTCTCACTGTTTTAAACCAGTAGAACGGCTCCACTCATATCTAATCTGATCTCCAAACCAGTTTCAGATATCTCCTTCTGTACCCTCCTACACTCTCTCCAGCACACCTCCTTCTACATTGCTCTTATAGGAAAGCTTTCTCTGTTTTAGGTTACTCACTCTGTTGTGTTAGTACAAATCAGCCAGGGCTCCCAAAGAGCTCAGCTGCTCCTCCAGAGCTGTGATCCTCAGCCCAATGTATCCAGACACCAGCAGCAGCAGCAACAACCTGCAAATATCACAAGGTCCTGAATTTTCCCCGTATACTCTAAAGTGCAGCTCATCAGGAGAAGGAGATGCTGGATGTCTCTAAGAAAAAATGTAATCTGTAAATTCTTTGTGCAGAGAGATAACGTGTCCATCATCACAATCTGAAGGATTAGATATCTCTCTTTCCAAGACATGATGGCGCCGGTCCAGATCCATGGCAACCGATTAATTAAAAGCTGGCATTTGACTTGAACAATATCTAATTGTGCGATATTAAGCATCATTTGCCAACTCTAGCATACAAATTAGAATGCATTCCTCTTTTTTGAGAGGCCACTGGGCCAAAAAAGCAGCTAATATGTGCGAAAAAAAACTTTAGATGATGTGAAGAAATAGAGTGTGACTCAGCACATCTTAAGATCTATACTCACAGCGTCACGTAGATGTAGAAGAGCATGCTGAAATGTGTAACTTCTCTGGAGACGGATGGCGTGACCGTCTCTGTTGACCTGTTCAATGGCGCAGCTGGAAAAATAAACATGACAGTTAAAGGTGCAGTATGTAAGAATATAGTGAGAATTTTACAGTGAGAAAATCCCAAGAGTCTAATGTTTCAGTCATTTTGGAAGGAAGGTTATACTGACACATATTTCATATCCAGCTGGCAGCGGGGATTGTCAGTTTTTCGCCTTTCAAAATAAAGGTAGGAGGGACGTAACTGTTTACCATCAGTGAATGCAGGGTTTCTGAGTCTCCTGTGAGCTAATACTGCAGCACAGAGAATTGCAATTTGACGGCAAAATGCTCCAGAAATGTTTAAAGTGGTTGCAGTAACCATATTTTACCACAGGATGCCATTTTTACTTCACTGCTACATATTGCACCTTTAAATTCAATCATTTCTGTTGAACCACGACTCTGACTCAGCTCACACACCTCTGTGGTCTTTATTCGTTAAGCTTCTTTGTTGAGTGGAACCAGGAGTACTGGAAACTGAAAAGACAGTTGTGTTGTTAAATGTTGCAGCATTTTATGGTAATTACTGATTAATAAGAATATTACATCTCTACCTTCACTGGTCATCAGAGGAAACTCACGCTCAAGATCACTGCTAAAGAAATCCTGTTCCATCCCAATTTCTAGACTTGAACAACTGGAAACCTGCAGATGAGGATAGAAGATTATTCATCCTTGTTTTTTGTATTTTTTAATTTTCACTTCTTTTAAATTGAGCTGCACTGACTGTGTCACGTTCTGCTTCATTCTCTGCTGGGGACAGTTGAGGGCTGCTGTTTCCACTTTCCTCCTGTTGCAAAAACCCAAATCATGTTTGAGTTTATTACAACTAAAACCTCAGTCGCGTGTGTGTTATGGGATACCTGTGATTGTGAGCAGATGCCGTGGAGGAGTTTGTAGCACAACTTATAATTCCTCACAGATGCAAATGAATACTGAGAGAGAGAAATGAGAGAAAGGATTAAATCTGAGCATAATTCAGTCACAGGCTTGTTTCTAAGCATTTTAAGGCTTTTTTGCATGATCACACTTCATTTTCTCATGTTTACTTTCTAATGATTGCTAGATTTCAACAGAAAAAGAGGCCAGGCTCCTGCTTTTAGATTTTATTTTAGAACTTTGAGGCGAAGGATAAAAAATCCTTGTTAAAATGGGACAAACCCATTCAAAGTCAATGCCAGGAAAATATGCATTTAATCAAAATAAATTCACAATCAATGTATATTTTTATGTCATGTAAAGCTGCATAAAATGTTTAATGATACAATTCTTATAATTAATTATTCTAAGAATAATATCAAGTTTAGGTGGAGATTCAGTTTCTAAAAGATGCAGTTTTTAATGCATGTTTTAGCTTTTGCAGATGAATAAATAATTTACATTAGACAACATGCAGAGGCTAAAGTGCTCTGCATAAAGTAACAATCACTGCATATTTCAGAAGTGCACACTGTCTGACCTTGTCTCTGCTGGAGGTCTGAATGGACAGCATAGACAAAGGGGATTTATACTTCTTGATTTCCTTCACATCAGAAAAAGGAATCACTACCTGCAGGGAGTCAGAAAAGTCACATCAGGTTGATTTTCTGGTGACAAAAAACTTTTTGAGTCATGGTGAAAAAACTGTAGTGGAGAATGTTGCTAGAATTAGTGTTCAGATGTTGTGAAGCTACAGCAAAAAGGCAAGACTGCAGCTAGCATGGTGCCGTTTTCTGGAACAAATGCATCAACCCGTCACATCAGAAGCAGCATCTTTGCACTGGGTGTGCTTTTTTGGTATCTTAACTGTTTAAGATGAGACGCAGACTGATGCCAGTCAAGATTATTGTTAGAACACATCTACAGTAGTGTGACTTGGCTACATCAGGTGTTTCAGCAGTTGGTACACAAATAAGGGTGTTTGTGTCTCTGAGCCAGTCGGGTGATATTAGCGGGGTATAATTGGTCAATATGCTCATTTATGTCAAAAATGACTCTAGACATGCCCTAAATGTGTTACCTTGGTCTCTTTGAGGAGTACAGACGAGTAGAAACACACATGACACTCAGAGACAAAGAGTTTTCCGTGATAAAGCACTTCTTTCTGCAAGGAGCAGGTAAATGCTGCAACAGAACGCACAGAACATTAAAAACCTCCCAGCGCCACCTGGACATCAGAAATAGTCTTTCATCTCTGCATCCATCACAGACCACTTAGTAAAAAGAAGTAAGACTTAAGGGAAGTGGACAAGACAGACACTGTCCATACGGTTTCCATGATCAATGGCTGCGAGACGACTCACTGTGTGTCACTCTGTCCTCCTCAGGAACCTCAGGAAACAGCTTGTGGAAGGTTTTATTGTATTTCAGGAAGGTCTGCGGGGAAAACAGCGAGGCGTTAACAAAGTGTGGGCTGAGTGAATTATCCGAGGATGTATTGAAGGCACTGAAAGTAGGTTTGTAATTAGACCTGGACCTGCAGTGGCTAATAATTTACACTTAGCACAAAACAAGCTGTGAGCACAGCATCGACGCTCCGTCAGCGTCTGCAGGCAGTTTCATGTTCTGTGCATCTACTGAGAACACACACTTCTCTGTGGATATTTGCAGAATAGAAGTCTAATAGTCGAGCTGAGCCATGTGACCAAATAGCTGCAGGTTGGCAATTTCCATTTAATCTCAGCTGATTCAATCTGAATTTAGTCTGAAGGAAGAATAATACCGAACATATTCAAACTGCAGTGTCACACTGAAACAAATGTTTTATTTAGCAATTCTGTGACACCCTATCCCCCCCCCCCCCCAAAACTTTTAAAAGGTTCATTTTAGAGTAAATGTTACAGCAATCAGCATCTTTTGTTTAACGAGATTCAACATGAAATCCGTGGAGCGTTAGTTTACATATTTGTGGGAAATATTTAGAGATTTTGTTTTTATTTAAAAATGGTGACCACACAAATGTGATAAATGTGCCAATTTAAGTATTACATGCAGTATACAGCATTAACAAGTGTGTGATTTATGAGCTTCACCATCGCTGGTCATCCTGTATGCTCCACATCAGCAAACCACCTGCTGCTTTCCCTACAGTCCCATGAAAGCAACAATGATTAATTTTATTATGCTCCTGATGCATAAAACACTGGGAATGAGCTGCAAACCTGAGCAGAAACCTTTTGTCATTACCTTTTTCTTCTTAAACTGTATTTAAAACATTTATAAATATAAAAAATATATGGATACACAGAACTCACATTGCTGTTGACGAACCCATCTGATTTAGTCAGATACTCCTCTGCCAGGTTCTGCTCTCTAAGGTCAAAGACGCATCGTTAACCCTGTTGTTTAATTTCTGCAAATAAATTTGCCTAATTTAACCATTTTTTTCCTTGCGTGTGTGATATTAAAAGCTGGAGAGCCTCCCGTACCTGAGGGATATTTCCGGTTCTGCAGTTTCTGGACTCTGACTCGGATTGGACCATCTCTTATTGCTGAGCAAGCTGCTGTTCCTTCTCACAACACCAGGTCCAGATTGTGTTGGAGATCTAATCCAAGAGACCCGGGGAGGAACGTCAAACTGATGATCCAGCTTTTACACCAGTCAAAGAGGTGAGATCAATATAAAACTAGATCAAATCCTACAAAATCCTGACAAATAAATAAAAACAGCTCCCTTCCTGACAGGAGCTTGAGTAAATTTACAGGCTTTTCAGAGTGTGGATTAAAGCAGCTGATAGCAAACATGTCAGGATCTCTTTTTATCGTCTCAGAGGAATCGTTTTTATTTCCAGAAAGGTGGAATTAGTCGAGCGAATAAAAAAAGAAAGATATATGTTCAGCATTACGGCTAGAAGCTACAGGGATCATGTCAGTTTGTACTAGAAAACAAGTGTTTGACTGAAATAAAAACCGAATTTGTCCCTGTGTTGTTGTGAATCTGCTCATGCATGAGGAGTCTGCTCTCTGGGAAACAGCAGGATCTCCAGAGGAAGGTTTCACTTTCATAGAGCAGACACAACGCAGCCTGGACTTATACCAACTCTAATTTGATTCATGTAAATATCTTTAGGGAAGGGCAAAACCACTACAGCGATGACAGATGAGAAAATAGTCAATAGATCACTAAAACGATACACTTTTCACAAAGAAACAGAAGCTTACTTACAAGTTGTCTTGTGAGGATTTCCTGTTTTTCAGGCTCATGATGGAAAATAAAGTCATGCAACACAATCCCACACCTACGAGAGCACCGGCTAGGCTCCAGAGGTCTTGTGTGTGTGATCCTTCTGTGCTAGAAGTCGTGCAATAAACACAGAAACAGGTGAGAAGAATGTCAAGGTGTCAGCCTATCAGGCATAAGGGGCGGGCACATTCTCAGCACCTGGGCCAGTCAGTGAAAGCAGGAGATAAGGTCACTGCTGGGAAACTGTAGCTACTGGAGGAAGAGCTGCACTCTACCTCAAAAACACCTGTACCTGGGGTGTGTGTGTGTGTGTGTGTGTGTGTGTGTGTGTGTGTGCGCGCGCGTGTGTGCGTGTGTGTGTGTGCGCGCGTGTGTGCGTGTGTGTGTGTGTTCATTTGACCAGTCCAGCCTGCGCTGATAGGAACCAGACCGGATGATGGAGAATTCAAAGAACAATGCTGCAACAGCTTTCCTTTGAGTGACGTATAACACAACTTATTCTCTATAATAAATAAAATATAATAATGAAATGGCAGCAAATAAACTTGGTTCAGCATGGACTAGCATGGAAATTATTGCAGGACATGGCTCTGAGGCCCATTATACAACCGTCTGTCTAGACCCGTTTAACACTGACAGGGAATTAGCTAATGCCCTGAACAGTTTTTATTGTTGGTATGACGCTCTGGACTTCAGCGGGGAACGGGAAGTCCTGAGGGAGAAATTTAAGGATAGTGAGCATTTTAAAGCTGAAATGGAGGACATAGGTAGGGCTATCAGGACAGTTAGAGTAAATAAGAGCAGAGGACCAGATGACATTTGTGGCTGCTTACTTAGATTCTGTGCATACCACCTGACACGATACTGCACATTTTTAATGAATCTTTACGGTTACAAAAGGTCCCTAAACTATGGAAGGATGCAGAAATTGTACCGATTCCTAAGGTGAGACATCCAGGTATTTTAAACGATTTCCGTCCTGTTGCTCTAACTTCAACCTCCCCAGGGCTGTGTTTTGTCCCCCTTTTTGTATATTTTATACACTAACATGTGCTGAAGCAAACATGAGAGAAGGACAATTATTAAATATGCTGATGATTCGGTAGTAGTAAGTCTCCTGAGAGAAGGGGAACACAGCCATGGACCTGTTCTTGAGGATTTTATCTCTTGGTGTGATGAGTCATCTACAACTTATGCAATTAAAACAAAAGATATGATCATGGATTTTAGAAGGAAGCCACAACAACAGCATGATCTTTCCATAATTAAAGGTCAAACTATTGAGCAAGTGAAATCATATAAATATCTGGGGAGCTGAATTTTGAGGAAAACTGATGCTGTGGGTAAGAAAGGCCAGCAGCGTTTGTACTGCCTTAGAAAACTGGCCTCATTCCATAATATCCATGTTTTACTGTTGTTTTACTGAAAGTGTTTATCCTTTTCCTTAGCCTCATGGTTTGGTCAGGCAAATCTTAAGCAAAAGGAAATGCTGAACAGGATAGTAAAGTGGTCAGGTCGTCTGCTTGGAAAACCAGGGAAGAGTGTGGCACAGCTGTACAGTGGGCAGGTAGAGAGGATTGCTAAAGCTATTGTTTGCTCATATATTGGCTGCATGGTGGCGCAGTGGTTAGCACTGTTGCCTCGCAGCACGAAGTTCGTAGGTTCGAAACTCGGCCGCGGCCTTTCTGCGTGGAGTTGCGTGTTCTCCCCATGCATGCGTGGGCTTCCTCCGGGTACTCCGGTTTCCCCCGCTGATCAAAACATGCCCTACAAGTTATAAATTGTAAGTCGCTTTGGATAAAAGCGTCTGCGAAATAAATAAACATAACATTGTTAAGGACACGGGCCACCCACTGCATGGCCAGTTTACTCTCCTGCCATCTGGACGGAGATTTTTTGTACCAAAGTGCAGGACCAAGAGGTATAAAACAAGCTTTATTCCCGAGGCAGTAGCGTTAATCAATAAGAATTGAGTCTGGCGTGACTATTTTTTATTTTTATTCATTTATTGTTTATATTTTTCATTGATGTGTGTGTTTTGTGACTGTGTGCGTAACCTGGACGCTAATTCTCGTGTCACATGGCAAATCAAATTTACCCGTGGGTATTAATAAAGTTACCTTGAACCTTGATAATAGATTATAATCTTTTATTTAGCCCCGCCCACTGCCCTTCCAGGTCGGGCATCTGCTGATTTCTGCACAAGTTTAAGGAGAAGTTGACAAAAAGTGTCTCAATTATTAGAAAAATCTAAAGGAAATGTTTTAATGTGACCAGATCCTGAACTTATTTTTTTTAGATAAAGTTTCACGTCTCTAACAGGAAGTGGAACACATTCGTCTTGAACGCTGTATTTTAATCCCTACAATTAGAAGTATTATTGTTTTAACCCAGATTATGTGTTTTCTAATTAAAAATGTTAACTTTTTCCCTCAAATTCTCATCCCTGTGCTGTGTTTTAATGTTTCATATAACTTCTATAATTCATATAAAGCTGATTGTGATTAAAAATGATCACAATGACTCATTTTCTAAGACCTAAAGCACATGCTGGAAAAACAATTATGTTGATTTCCTAATAACAACCCTGTTGGAGGTGTGATGACACCCAGCCGGTCTGAACATGGCTCAAAAAGAAACCAAAACAAGAGGAAAGAAAAGACAACAATCTGACGGTTGATTAACAGAACAAAGCACACCTCATATTTCCTTTTCATGTCATCAGACAGAGGTGTTTAGCTGCCATTACATGTGGAATGTTTTTCATTCACTCTGGCACAAACACGCTCCTCAAACGTGAAATGAGAAGATCTTCTTAGACGATGATCGTCGTGACCTCACAAATCCCTGATGCTCCAAAAAGATCCCTTTTGACTCATGTTTTAGAATAATAAAAGATAATTTGACATGTTGGAAAGTCATAAAACACATGATCTGTAGTGTAAAAACCACTTTCTAGTGATTGCTCTGCTTTCTAATGAGCTGAGTGACACACACGTGCGCACAATATTCCTGCCAGTCTTGTTTTTAGTGAGTCCCTTTTAGAAAATGTTTCCGGTTTCCTGATAGCGTCTAAGGAAGCAGCGGGATGAGTAACAGTAAGCTAGAGGCCGTTTTCACATTGTTTGAAATAGCTCCAACCTGAGATGAAAAGAGCTGTGACGCCGACTCACACGTGGGTGTATTATGGTGGAAACGCACCATCACGACGCACAAGGCAACATTCCAGCAGCTCCTTTTTGCAGATGTGCAGGAACTCATATGGAGAAAGTAACACAATGCAGAAAACCTCATCTGTTTCCATTGCTCTCTTTCAAGCAGAGGTGTGGACTCGAGTCAGACTCGAGTCATTATTTTAATGACCTCTGTAGTGAACCTGATTAGGCTCTGTCAATTATGTAGAGTAATGGTTTATGCTCTTTTATGAAAGAGGAACCATTCTACATATTAATTTGAGATATTAATTTTAATAAATTAATAACCAAATTTTATAGTTTTAAGAAGACTCAAAGGTTGTTTTCATCAATAAACTGTCGATAATATCCGTGGGTCTGTGTTTCAGTTCAATGAAGAGACAAGTTTGAAAGTTAAAAGATTTAATTCTTCAAATTAAACTAATGATTTTGAAATGACAAGCATAGGAAATAACAATCGACATTGGCAACTTTGTTAGGTGACTTGGCATGATAAAATCTATAAAGACTTGCAAATTGACTCTGACTTGAACGCCAATGTCTTGCAACTTGAATCGACTTGCATCTGTTGACTTGATGATGACTTGAGCATATTTGATCTTTAAGCACAAAAGTGGCACGACATGGACAAAAATCCTACATCATTCTTGGTTCTGGGTTTGATGTACTGCTAAACGCAGCAGCACTTTGTTTATAATCAGTTTTAGTTGCACGTTCTGCTTGTTTGAGCAAATAAATGAAGTTTTAAGAAGCTTTACTTCTGGAATGTATTTATTAACATTGTCATTAAATTGAAGTTGGACAGATGACTTGATTATGACTTGAAAATTCAAAATTAAGGAATTGGACTTGACTTGGACTTCCACATCATTGACTTTGGACTCGACCTGGACTTGGTTGTCTTTGACTTGGACTTGACTCGAGACTTGACTGGAAAGACGTGTGACTTGCCTGTGACTTGCAAAGCAGTGACTTGGTCACACCTCTGCTTTAAGTATCCTGACACTGTGATCTAATTGTTTTATCTAGTAAAAAAGTCCTAAGCATATCATTTATACTCTTGCTTTCAAGCATCCAGAGGTTCTTGTCATCTCCTAAAGTGGTATTGACCAGCTCTCCAGGTGTTCTGAAGTGCTTTGATATTTATCAGTATGGGTTGATTGAACTTCCAGGCAGGGCCGTGCAGAGACCTTTGACGGGGCGGGTACTCAAAGTTCAAAAAGGGGCACTTATAGAGCAAAACTTTTAAACAGATTCACAATCCCACAAGTTAGAAAACTCTGATAATGAGACCCTTGAGTTCAAACACAATAAAAATATATCAATTAGTGTAATTAATGTTAGTGTTAATGTTAGTTCATAAATGATTGTTTTAGTTTTTAAAGCTGACATATCTAGAGATGTTAAAACCACATTTCTGCCCCTGATCCGAGTCCAAGTTGTTTGAATTTTGATTATCTTCCAATACTGAGTCCTGTTCTGATACCAGGTGGTGATGCAATGCATTAAAAAAAGAAGAAAGAAGTCGTCCTTCTGACTGTATTTGTCATTTTGTTATTTTAGCCTTAAAAGGTCATTCATTCAGGAAGTACATTTAACAGGAATCAAGATTCAAGATAATTTATTGCTATTGCACAGGTGTACAACCAAAGTGACTTTGCGCTTACTAAGGACAGCTCTAGGAAAAGGTAGTAAAATAAATGTAAAATCAATGCAGCCACAGAAAGTTATCCAGTGTAATGTACAGCTATGTTAGCTGAGATCTTTTTCCTGTCAGTGGAAAAATCTTGATCCCATTCCATGATCTCACTGAACTTAACGCTAAACATGAGAGCTCTGCTACCAACCTAACATCAACACCCTTTGGGCAAAGGCACCGTCGTCCCATACGTGGCAGGAGTCTCAGAGAAACTGAGAAGAATCTTCTCCAAACACAACATCCCAGTAAACTTTAAACCCAACAACACCCTCAGACAGAAACTGGTCCATCCAGAAGACACAACACCCAAAAAGAAGC